ATAAGTATGAGAACATTAAAATATGTAAAGTTTAGTGGAACGCAGATGTGTAAGACGGACATTGTGTATTGATTATAATATACGCTCGCTAATACGAATCACCACGGACTGAGAGAAGAGACGGACTGTCAATATCGAAAAGTCAAACTTTATTTACAATAAATATATATGCCTTGTGAAGACCTTCAGTGTCAGTTTATAAATTAAAACTATTATTCTGCTATTTAATATTGAGTATCTCAGAAATTAAGCATTTCCTATAGCAAAGCTCTTCATCCAAAATTTTAACATTGTCCCATTGAAAATCATGATCATACTGCAGCCTATGCTCCGTTATGACAACAGAAAACCAACAGAAGTGTTATGTCTAATATGATTACGATGTTCTGTAATTCTGGTTTTCAATTGTCTGCCCGGCTGTATATAGTTAGTTTTTCAGAGTAATGTTATAACGAATAATGTTTGCATACAGACGTACACTACCGGTCTAAGTTATCCTAATTGCAAAGAATTCGTTCCTCGCGTATCTTTAATGTTAAAAATGTTGTGATATCTTTTTAAAGGTATAAAAGACCAACATTGTAGGTCAAATAATTCCTTAGATAAAAATAAATATTTTATTTCTTTGAATGTTTGCACGATCTATGTTTACTGCTATAATATCAAATTCTTGCTTAATAACAGCATCATCATTTATTGTTATAGTAGGATTAATTAAATTATTGCAATATGTGTGGTTCTATCTCATTATTGTGATCAATCATAAACTTTCTATTAATACAACGTAAATTCGTGATACATTAGTTATATCGTTTCTAAATATATTTCATACAATTATACATTATTAATTTAGTTCCTTTTTTAATTCTTTTTATTTTTTTGTTTTACACGTATCTTATAAAATTTAATTATCTTAATTGCAGGAAATATTAATTTTATTTATAAAAGATTTTTTATTCCTGATTTGACATGCTTATAAATAAACTTTAGCAAGAAATAATATATGTATGCATATATATGTGCGTATAAAAAAATTTTATAATTAGATAAATAAATGAAATCCTATAATCGACCAAAGTTGATCTTATTACCTAAATATTTCAGTATAAATTTATACAAGTACACTAGACAATTCTATAAACTGTGCAATAAAGTCCTCTCCAATCTTGAAACGCAGTCATGACTAGAACTATAATAGTATTAATAATATTATAAAATATTATAATATTATATTATAATTGTGTGTTCATACATGTCTCCTTGAAAAACAACTTTGTTCACTCACCAGTTGTTGGTTTTCAATATTATTTAAAGCGCGAATTATTCACATTCTATAATAGAAGCTTTATCATAAATTTTGTGAAAAGTACTTACAACACTGAATTTACTGATAATACAACTTTTGGCGTAACATATTATTTAATATAACGGGAAGAAGAAAGAGTGCCAATACTATGATAAGTATAGGATCACGATGGGTAGGAAAGAGAGCATGAATATTATGGCGAATATAGGATTACAACGGATGGGATATACTCGTATATCATTATGCGCACTATTTGGCAACGTCACAATGCATCTCGATCTTTAAATTTTATATCATTATGCATATATTTAGCAACGTCGCAATGTATCAAAATTACATGATGTCATCGCGAAATATGTCGTGATAATATGTCAAATGTCCTTAAAAAAATCGCGCTTGCATTTTTGATCTTTCGCTTGTGTTGGTTGAACAATTCCATATGCATTTCTGAAGAAACGTGAGAGAAATGGAGAGGACGAAACTTAGAAAGAGCTCGGGCAATGTTACTTGCATCGGTCAGACGGACCGCTACTGCAATGCTTTCCAAGCATGTATGATTTCATGAGATTTTACATTCCGATTCAAGATGAAGAGTTTTATAAACAGTAAGTTTTTATTTTATAAATTTTTTTTATACTTTTTCTCTACAGTTTAATTATCTGTTTTCCTTTTTT